GAAGTCCAAGAATTTGCATTTCTGATAAGTACCTAAACTCTTTTAATATCATCAAAATTGAGACCCACTTGGCTCAGGGATCATAGACTTAAGCAAACATGTGTTCTCCCCTTAAAGACAGAAAAAAAGGAGAGAGGAAAGAAGGGAGAGAGGAAGAATGAAGGGAAACAGGGAGGGAGGGAGGAATTGTGTAACAATTGTTAAAACAACAGAAAACAATTTGGGAAGGAGAGGTGGAGCCCACTTGCCAGGTGCCACAGTGACTACCGTTGATGAGCCGGAGCTTGAGTAGTGTCCATGGCATTTGTGAGAGGATGAAAGGCCCGCAAAGCCCATCATTAGCAAAGATGGACTCTCTCTGAGCAAGGAAGTGCTATTGCAGTTTCTTTCTTTTTTTTAAGATTTATTTATTTATGCATACAAGAACTGGGGTACAGGCCAGAGGTGTGGGGGATGAGAAGACTCACCAGAGACAGAGTGGGGAACAGAACAGGCAGACTGACTGAAATACACTGCTGAGGGGAGTGTTGAGGGGAGCAGCAGGTGAGTCAGGAGAGGTCTGCTGCGCCATGTAGGTAGCTCCCTGGCCAGGGTTTGAACTCATGCTACAGTGCTGTGGACAGCTCCATAGTTTCGTCTTAACCACTTGTGCCACCTTCTCCCTTCTTTCCTCTCTCCTTTCTCTCTGTCTTTAAGGGAGGCCCCTATTGCAGGTTCTCAACCAAGAAAGGACAATGTTTCAATCTGGCCATAGTTTTGGGTTTTTGTTGTTGTTGTTGTTGTTGTTGTTGTTTGCCTATAGTCTTTGAACTGAAAAAGACAGTAGAGATTTTTGGCAAGAAGGCAATCTTAGAACACTTGTTACAATCAAGAGGTGTCATTCAGGACTTGAAACAAGCAGATAGAATTTAAAATTCCAACAACTAGATAATCTATTTTACAATAGTCTACCCAGCCCTCTATCCGCTGTTTCACCTACCAAGGTTTCAGTTACTTGAGATCAAATAAGAGATAAAAGACAGAAAGATAATTATACTGATAATAGGTGATAGATGATAGATGATGAAATAGATGTCCACATTCACATAAATTTTGTTATACTATGTGTTATGATTGTTCTATTGTATTATTAGGTGGTGGTGTTAATCTCTTGCTATACCTAATTTATAAATTAAGCCCACTGGTAAGTATGTCTATACAGGGAAAACACAGTACAGATTTAGATACTCAGATACTACCTATCTGAGGTGTCAGGGATCCACTAAGGGTTTTTGGAATGTCTCCCCTTAATATAACAGGGGGCTAATGAACACCCTTCAATTTATGGGAGCTCTATCCACTCAGAAGAAAAGGAGCTTGTCCTCTTCGTGAAGCACACATCCACCCCTAGTGCCAATCCCTCCACGTTGCCTCATCCACATCCCTCTTGGTTCTTTAGTATTTCCTTTCCTCTGGCTTCAGCAAACATCAGCTCCCGCTCAAAATGTTCTTTCTCTTGAGATGCCTCCCCTTAGCTGACCATCCTAGGTCTCCCCTATCCTTCTATTGGCAAATTCCCTTAAAAGATAGTCTATACTCACCTCTCCTCTACTGTTGCTCGAACCACACAGTCCACTCCTATCTTCCCCTTTCCTTTGACGTGGCTCTAAGACTTTGTAACATCACAATGAACAAATCTAGTCGGCCTTCCCCTCCCTGGGATAGTTACCTCCGCTCCCATCATTAAAATGATGATGATAGTACTTGTCTTCTAGGGTTAGTATGAGACTTATGTAAGTGAACACTTACAAAGTACTTAGGACTGTGTCTGGCACATGCTAAAGGCATATAAATAATTTGCCATTATTAGTAGTATATGCTAAAGGCATATAAATAATTTGCCATTATTAATTTGCCATTATTAGTAAAGGCATATAAATAATTTGCCAATAATTTGCCACTTCCTATCATAGTATAGGAAGTGATTGGAGAGAGAGAGAGAGAAAGAGAGAGAGAGAGAGAGAAACTGGATATAGAAATCTAGAGCACTGGGTCTGGGCTTGAGGTGAATATTTTAGAGCTGTACTAAAACCTGTAGTTCTGACTATTAGATATTTTTACAAAATGAGGGTTTTTCTGCTCACATGTTCCCTGTACCCCCGCTTTCATAGTTTTCTTAAATGTTCTGTGAGAGGAAAACCATCTCTTAGTGTCTCGCCCCTTTGAAGGCTACTGTTGCTGCTGTTTCTCAGGGTTGAATCATCAATCGTCTTCTCTTGCCGCCTCTGCACAAACTTAATTTCATTGGGTGATTACAGCCCGTATCTGTCAATTTTGCTGAGTAACAAATTATCCTAAAATCCAGAATTTTAAAAGAACCGTTTTATGGTGCTCACAGATTCCATGTGTTAAACTGGAAAGGGGGAAATGAGGAGGGCGAGGAGGGTGAAGAGGGTGAGGAGGGTGACTCCTCCCAGCTCAGCAACACCTGGGCCTGCGCAGCGAGAACTCAGGGTGATGTAAGCACTGGGGCCTGGAAGAAGGAGTCTGTGCTCACATGTGTGGTGCTCAGCCCAGGGTTACCCGTGGTACCAACATGTGAGCTTTCCAGGAAGCTCGCGCCATCACTGGATGGCGTCTCAGACCTTTAACATGGCATCTCAGGGCTGCAGGGACGAAGGCTGCACGCACATCACCTTTCCTGACCCAACCTCGGGTGTCCCATGATGTCACGTCCACCACAATTATTGGTGACGTAAGAGTCCCACACGTTTACAAGTGCAGTAGGAGGAGCAAAAACAACCCCACATCCTGAAATAAGGAATATCAAAGATTTGTAACCATTTTATAAAAATATCTAATAGTCAGAACTACAGGTTTTAGTACAGCTCTAAAATATTCACCTCAAGCCCAGACCCAGTGCTCTAGATTTCTATATCCAGTTTCTCTCTCTCTCTCTCTCCAATCACTTCGTAAACTACGAACACTACTACTAATAATGGCAAATTATTTATATGCCTTTAGCATGTGCCAGACACAGTCCTAAGTACTTCATATGTATTCACTTACATAAGTCTCATCCTAACCCTAGAAGACAAGTACTATCATCATCATTTTAATGAAGATGAAAAAAAAAAACTTGCCTTAGACCACACAGCAAGTACAATGGAGCCAGGCTGTGCCTGCTGCCGCGTCACAGACACCCAATAAATGTTTACCGAAGCAATGAACGAACAAACCAACAAATTTTAAAAAGCCACAGTAATAGTGATATTTGCTCTACAGGAAATAAGGAAGAGGGGACATTTACAGCATCTGACCTAAAGCCTGGAGAGCGGTGGGAGTTGAATGGCATCGGGAGCAGGAAGTCAGTTTGGAGTAAGTAAAGAGAATGATGGGTTTGGTTTCACACAGGTTGAATTGTTTATGTTCCAGTGGACTGCTAGAAAAATAGGAGCAGAAAATAAATGGGATCCAAGGTTAAAGTTGTAGAAGAGGGGCCTCCCTGCTGGTGCAGGGGTGACAGTCTCAGGGCTATCAAGCTATTGCCAGCCACTGTGGCATGAGTTTGATGCCCCCGGCCAGGGACCTACCCACATGGCGCAGCAGACCTCTCCTGTCTCGCCCGCTGCTCCCCTCAGCAGTGTATTTCAGTTAATCCGACTGTTCTATTCCCCATGCTGTCTCTAGTGAAACCTCTGAACCCCTCCCACGCCCCCTTGCCTGTACCCCAGCTCTTGTGTAAATAAATAAATATATATATACAGAAATACATATATATACACATACACACACACAGAGAGAGAGAGAGAGAGAGAGAGAGAGAGAGAGAGAGAGAGAGAGAGAGAGAGAGAGAGAGAGAAGGAACAAAACAGCTCCCAGGAAAATAGAAGTAATTTACTGTGCCTAGTGCCTAATCAATAGTGCGGCTCATTGACAACAGGAGTCTGACAGTGTATAGTCATAGACAGGGCTGGGATAAAAGGGGCATCCTCCCTGGGACCCCCTCCTGCCGTCAGGAGTTGTTTCCTCTAACTTTTTTTTTTTAAGATTTATTTTTATTTTTATTTATTTGTTTGTTTGTTTTGTTTTATACATGCACTGGGTACAGTCAGAAGCACGGGAGGGTGAGAGAATTCACCAGAGCCAGAGCGGGGAGCAGAACAGGCAGAAGGACCGAGGTACACTGCTGAGGGGGGCAGCGGGCGGCAGGAGAGGTCTGCGCGCCATGTGGGACCCGGGGATCGAACCAGCGCTGCAGAGGCTGCAGGCAGCTTTGCAACCCAGCGCTCGCCCGCTGCGCCACCGGGAAGGTCCTGCTTCCTCTAACTTCAACAAACCCACACTTGCTTGCTCCCACCTTTGGTGTGGCGGGTGTTATTCTCCAACCGGGGTACACACCCGGACCCACGAGCATCCTCTCCTCACACACGTACCTAATTCCAGAAATGCTTAACATTTACTGTTACGCAGGCTGTGCCAGGGTCTGTGCAAAAACAGGCCATTTACCTTTCAGGGTAATCCTTCCAACTACGTAACAACAACTATCTCTGCCTCCCAGACGAGAGAAGTGAGGCTCCAGGAGGTGAGTAACTCAGCCAAGGTCACGCAGCCCGCGAGCGAGCACCGGCGCGCTCAGCACTGCCCGGGGGCTGACTGCATGGACGAGGCTTGTGTGCCGCGTTAAGGCGCAGCCTCGAGGCGATGGTTTAACTCCTTTCAAGTGACGCCGGGCCCCGCCGAGCCCCAAGTGCAGGATAAACAGAAAGACAGGTGTTGCTTGAGGAGAGCGCAGGAGGCTGTAACCCGAAGCCCCCGCGGCGCGCGCCCGCAGCGAGGTCCGGGAGGCTGCGCCCAGCGCGGGCGCCCGGGCGGTCCCGCGGGCCTGGCGCGGCTCTTTCTTCCAAAGTTGGAGCTCTCCTGGGTGGGAGGGGGCGGGGGGAGGGGCAGTGACGTCACTCGCGAGGGGGGATAAAGCTCCCGGGCCGCGGTCTGGGCCAGGACACTGCCCCGCGAGCAGAGTGGGCCGTCACACCCCGGGACGCTCGCCGCGCACCCCCGTCCCTGAGCGCCCAGCGCCCCCGCTCGAGGAAGGCTGCGCCCGGAGCCACCATGCCCCAGAACGTGGTCCTCCCGGGCCCTGCGCCCTGGGGCTTCAGGCTCTCGGGGGGCATAGACTTCAATCAGCCTTTGATCATCACCAGGGTAGGTTCTGCCGGTTGTTCTGCTCCAAGTCCCGGGCTTGGGCGCGCGGCGGGTGCCCCTGGTCTGGCAGCCGGGGGCGCAGGGTGGGTCCGCAACTTCGGGCTCACCGGTCCAGCGGCCAGAGCAGCTTGGCAAACTGGTTTGGAGGATGCAGAGCAGCTTGGAGGATCATCCACATCAGCCCCCGTGGTCTCTGTCTGCATCCTCTTGGCCCCCCAAAATTTCCGAGGTAGTGACAGCGTGATTTGCCTGTGCTTGGAGAGGGCGAGGCTAGGAGAGCGCTGGAGTAGCTTCCCGCCCTCACTCACCATCTCCTTGGAGTTACTGACGAGGTGGGGTCCCTCCCAGACAGAGGAGGTGAAGGACACTGGCTGTTGTTCTAGGAACTGGACACGCATCTGAGCGCTTTTCTTGTCTGGAGGAAAACTTCAGCAGGACGCTGCTCGCGGGGCACGGTCTGGGTCAGCCAAGTTGGAACTGGTCCTATCAGCCCAGACAGGGAAAATGTTACTAATGTGTATTTTGAATAAATATTTTTCAAATTTGGGAACTTGGCTTAGGAATCATCACCTATAACTCAAACTGTAAAGATAACAGTTTAGTTTACCTGTTGGAAAGTTCTGGGGCAGGGCAGTCTAGTAACTGAAAATAATGCTTTCATATGAGAGTCAAGTTTTCCTTACTTAGTGTTCTTTAAAGCATTGTCCAATTAGGAAAAAGAAAAACTTCAGATTTCATGTTCTAGAAGTAAATTTCTAGTTGTTCTGTTCATTTTATTTTCTAAGTACTGGCCTTGATAGAAAATTACTTCTATTATCACATAGAAAGCATAGGAAACCCAATTTAAATGCACAAACTTCCAGAATATCATACTTTTAGTATGCTTAATTGTTTTTTCTTGCTCACTGCTTATGCTGTATTTTATAAATATGTACTTTATGATCATAGATTTATTCACATAGACTTTTGAATAAGGTAAAACCTTTTAAATTCTATTATACTGTATATGTCTATAAGATTTAGAAAGTGTTGCCTTTTTTAAATATCTCAAGATATGTGTTAGACAGTTGATATGCCACGGAGCATTTCAAGCTTTGTTTTACATTTTTCAAAATATAAACACATCTGACACGTGTTTTTCTATGAGACATGAAAACTTAACATACCCTCAAAAATGTTCTGAAGTAAATTAAGCAGAAAATGTTTCAGTGATCTGGACCAAGCAATGCCTTTTATGGATTTACCAAAGAAAACAGTTTCCATTATGTCTACTAAGAAATATTTTTAAAGTTTCTGAAGTATAGTTTTCATTTGTTTATATGAAATGATATAAGCTTTTGAAACCTGACAAAGGATAAATTATATTTATGTTAAATCCTACAAAAATAATTTTGTCACCAAAATCCTTTTAGTGATTTATAAAAACATGTTGCTATTACTCAGTAACATCTCAATATGGTTAATCTTATGTTTGAAATTTTGAGTTGTTGCGTTTATAAGCAATGTTTATTTTAAAGCAGTACTTACATTTTGGAGTTGGCTGCAGGAGCAATTGGTAAATGTATTTTATGTAATGACAAGTACACTTTGTGAAAACAAGTCTTATTGGAATTTTGAACTCATAATTAAGTTGTATCACTCATGCTGAATCTCAATCACTAACAGTGCATGACCACATGGAATTATTTCATTGGACTTTATCTTTTCTCTTCAATTCATTCAACGAGGAAAAACAGATGAAACAAAATGGTTTTGTATTCCCGGTGTCCCAAGAACCATCAATAGTAGATGTGATACATTTATTGAATAAATGAAAGTCTACTTGACTTGAACTTTTTAAAATCTTAGTGAATACCTAATTGAGACCATTTCCACTGAGATTATAAGAATAAAAAGTCATTTAGAAAAAGATTAAAAGACATTACATGAGAAAATGATCCGTGTTGTACTTAAGAGTTTTTCTATTACTTTCATAGTTTTTATATTATGTAAAGGCAGCGAATAAGGTTTGTTACTGCTTGCCAAGCAATCCTCTAAGCGTTTTACATAGACTAATTCATTTAAATCTCACAGTAATCATCAAAGAGTAGTAGTAGTAGAATCCCTTTCACAGATGAAAATGAGGCTTAGATGGTCGATAACCTGTCTGCTATCACAAAGATGGTCCAGGATTTAAAGTCAGGTCTACTCACCTCCAAAGCTACATTCTGCAAAATCTATTTATTGTACAGATATTTCCAAATAGGTGCATTGCGCCATCCAATTCATCACTGCTTCTGTTGGTCCTTTATCTTTCAGCACTGCCATTTTCCTTTTTGCGCCTACTGCCCCTATTCAAGTTATGACACACACCTGCTGCTTGTCTTCCCTCTCCAGTTCACCCCACAAGTTCTTACCAGCCATCTCTGGGAAAAACAGGATTGTGCCAATCTTCCCCATACTTAAAAATCCTTCAGTGGCGCCACCAGTTTATGAAAATAAAATGTGTGCTCTTTAGCGTGGCACATTGCCAACTTCATTTCCTCCCTCTCTCTGGTCCTTCTCTCTGCCCTTCGTCCTCTCACTTCCCAGATAGGCAGTGGTGCCCTGCTCAGGATAGTTTATGATTTCTCTAACATGCCTTTGTTCCTGCTATAATTTTTTTTCCAGAATTCTCTTCTCCTCCCCACCCATCCACCATCCTTTATGCTGTGGAAAACTCCCCTGGCCTTCTTCCAGAAACAATTATTTCATCCATTTGATTACTGCAGCTTTTGACCTATAACCTTCTACCACAAACCTTGTATCACAGATGTTTGAGGCCATCCGTATCCCACTAATGTCATGCTCTGTGAGGGTAGGAACTTTCAAATATAGGGACTACTCAGTGACACACATGGTGTCCTTACATCATACATGTTATAGAATAAATATTAACTCAATGTGAATGACTATGTTGTTCACTTTTCACATAACTTGATTATTAAAAAAGTTGCATATTGTGTCTTCAAAAATATTCCACGATAAAGTCATGTGAGAATTTTGTATTGTTAACTCAGTTGTCTGTTTCAGATAAGTTGGGAAGAATGCAAAAAAAAAAAAGAGAGAGAGATGCCAATGCCTGTGCTCAAATGTCCCATAAATGACATATATTCCTCAAGTCAATGAAATCCACTTTTTGTTCTCCTACAAGCTCTACCCTCTTCTTCCTGCCTCAATGCTACAAATGCAGACTACAGCAATCTCCTAGAGAGTGGTCCCCAGAAGGGGGTTACACATGTAACTCTCCACCAACTGAAATTAGGATCCACAAAAATTAGGACAAAAGATCCCTCCCACAACTGATTACAATCCAGTTACTCATCCTGGTTTCATTTTTGTATTATAAAAAACATCAGAAGTGAGGTGAAACAAACCCTCCAAATAAATTAGCAATTGATTGTGAGACCCAGAATTTGTGGAAGAGCAGTTTCTATACTTTGTGCAATACAAATTTGAGCTGTAGATTTTCAGTCTCGGGGAGAGGTTGTTATTTCAAACACTATATAAAACTAGCCTAGGAATTTCACTGAATGAAACTTAAGGTTTACATCTCCAAGTCAACACCTTTTCTTTTTTCTAACAAGAAGATTCTAAAGACTCTCTTTCTTTCTTAAGTTTTTAGACCACTCAGAAAGTGATTTACTATCACTGCCAAGTTACAGATAGATTGTTTTCACAAATGGTCCAATTTGGAATAAAGTACAAGCTTCTTTTGTGGACATGATGTAATATCATTGTATACATTTGATGCCAGTATGTCCAGGCTCACTCATTTCCTCTCCCTACTGCTCCCTCCTCCCTCCTCATTCAGAGCACATCCACAATCAAGATCATTGTAACTAGAAATGCTGAATGGACTTGGGGACTGATGAAGAAAATGTTAGTGTAGTCTTGAGTTTTGTAGGTTTTACCTTACCTAAGTATAGCACTTTAATATAAACTATATTTGAAATGTCAACTTTTAGAAAGATGGTTACAGTTGATTGCAATCTTTTTCCAGGCAAAAACAAGTACAGTAGGGAAGTTGATATGAATAAAAACCTGTTTAGTTTGTTCTAATAAAGACGTTTCTTCATATTAAGTGTTGGTCACTATCGTCATAAGATTCCTATATCCCACAAATACCTATGAATCAGAATGTGTTGTATGTGGTCGTAATGCAGATTCAAATAATTGAATTGAATGGGTTCCTAGCTCCTGAAAAACTTATATGCCAATAGAAGAGAAGGTGCATATAGATAAACTACCTTGACACAAACTGTCCACAATTCCATGGAGAAAGTGTGGCCAAAGAAACGGGAGGCAGGGGGAGCGATTACCCACAGGAGTGGCATTGTGGGGTAATGGTCGAGCTTACTGAAAAAGCTAGAGACCCATGAGGGAACTTGAGATTTTCACTGACTGTGTGACCCTGAGCAAGCTTCTTATACTTTCTGAGATCAGGTTTCTCATCTTAAAAGAGTTTTTTTGCAAATAACTGAGATAATACTTTGTGATAATATCAATAATAAAACAGCAATACCATAATAGTTCTCAATGCTGGTTGCACATTCAACTCATCCAGATTATTTTTGAATATACCCATGCCCAGGTACGACTTGTAGATATTCTGATTTAACTAGCATGGGGTATGGGTCTAGAAATGTGGGCTAGTGGGCTTTAGAGACTGGGCAAGGAGCTGGAGTTTATTTGTAGACAATGGAGAATAACAGAACAATGGGATTTCTCACTATCTCAACCCATGCCCCACTGTAGAGTCCTTCAGTACATAGTTGTCTTGCTCAACAGCCATTTCGATCATTTTTATTCTTAGTAAAAGGATCACATCAAGTTATGTCTTCAACTTCCCGCATGCCTCCCACAGTATATAGAACATTATAGATGCTTTATCTGTGTTTTTAATTAGTTTTTTCACACAAATGGATTTAAATAATAGGTTAATATGAATAATGAATACCTGAGATATGAGATAATTTCTA